GGCTAAGATCGTTGCGGGGGAAGTGTACATGATGAATAGCTCAAAGGGATCTCACAAGTAAATTCCAATATGAACTTGGTTGCATGAAACTGCTTCTTGCAAAGAATGGTCGCTTTATAGAAATAACTCCATGCACATTCAGTAAATGCCACTGACACGTAGCAGCGCTCTTTCATTTCCATTTGGAGACAAGTTGATAGAAGACGCTGCTGTATGGAAAACGTCCATGCCTCAACATTACTCGTGTCCGACAAAATGATGATAGTCTGGTCCTCTCAAGCTGAAGATTGGTTAGTCGAGATCCGCGTCGGGAAGGTTAGGCGAATATGGAGAGCGCTCTAATATTTCCTAATCGGGGAAGGCGCGCGTGCGGAGCCTCGTTGGCTGCGCCTCTCCAGGCAGAGTCAAAACGAATCGACGCCGCAAGTGCGCTCTTTCATTCCCATATTCGAAAAAGGCTGATCTTTGGTCTTGGCAATTAGGAAAAGAACATTCTTTCTTTCCGTTATCAGGGCAATCTGAGCATCGGGCGCAGATGGGGTCTAGTGTAGGGCCTTTTGATGGCCGCCGGGCGCGAAAGTCGAGATGTGAGGCATGTGCCAAGCGGAAGATCAAGGTGAGTCAACTCGTGTCGCCAACTTCCCGTGCTGACGTGAAACGAGTGCTGTGGTGGTGCTCCTTGTGACTATTGCAAGCGAACAAAGCAGTCATGTGTGTTTTCCACACGTCGTCCAGTGGCCGTCGTCTTTGTTGAACGGAGCCTTAGTAGTAAGGCTCAGCCAATGATGGACCTCGATCGCAATCTGGCCTACTTCTTCCACTCTTTCTTACCCATGAACGTCCTCACTAAAAACAACGCGTCATGGCAAAGCGAATTACAGCTTTTTTTGCATCAATCGCCTGCGTTGAGCAGTGCAGTCTCTGCTATTGCTGCACTTCATCGTTTTCAACAGGAAAGATTGTTGCTTAACACAACAGGGGTGGGGAAGGGCCAAGTTCAAGCTCTGAACTCATATAGTCAGGCTGTGAAACATGTTAGGACTGCTATCACTTCAAACTCATTCGCGGGCCCTGCTCTATTGTGGTCAACATTCTTCCTAGCTTTATTCGAGGTGCGTCGAGGCGAACGCCGAGATAGAATTGCCATCATACTAACTCCAGACAGTTGATGCGGGACAGCAGTGGCACAGACTGGCTTTCACACTTCCTGAATGGCACGTGTGCCATCCTCCGTTTGCAGCACCCAGCATATCTGCTGCTGACAAATGCAGATGCTAGCCATAGGCGCAATTTCTTTTTCACGACTCGCATCTTCGAGATTGCCCGGGCTTTGATATATTCGCAGCCTACTTTTCTGAGTGAGCCTGAGTGGGCTAATGCGCTATCGCAATGGTGGAGTTGCGAAGAAGGCCAAAGGCTGTGGCATCCCAAAGAGGCACTGTTCGATATGCTGCCGCATTTCTGTGACTTGAGCCTGCGCACCCTTCGCTTTGCTCAAACTGAAGAAACATACCTACAGTCTAGCCTGCATCACCCACAGGCTCAAATGCTTGCTGATGAGGGTATTGAGTTGCAGCAAGGGTTGCAGCAATGGTGGATATGTGCGGAAGCATGGGGAAAAGATACTTCCGAGGTGGATGCTGATCTTGTCGTAGCAAGAACATACTATCACGCCATGAGCATTTATCTCTCAGGATCTTACGACTACCACAAGCATTGGAACCAGCCTGGCTCCCCGCCGGCTCCAATACTGAACAGATCGAGCATCGAAATGCACATGAATGAGATCCTTCGGCTGGGTCAGGAATTGCTTGATCATGGTCTTGCTGGCCTTTTGCTCTTCATCCCACTTCGGATCGCAGGAGCGCGTGTCTCTTACAAAAAAGACCAAGATCTTATCCTCCGGTTACTCAAAACTATATCGCAAAGAGGATACGCTGTCGCAAATGCGATTTATATTGACCTTGTTGAACTGTGGGCGCGAAAGATGAGTACAAACTGAACATGTCCATATAACCTTTTCGTATGGATGGTGGACTCTTGGAGCAAAATTGGCGTTGGACATCTCCTCAACCAAACCGGATGTTCTGTAGTTTGACGGGCACTATAGAAGACGTTTAGAGTCTTCAATCTCTGGGTGTGATCTTCATCGTCATCTTCAGCCATTCGGAAGAACGTGTGTTCTCAGATATTTTTGAGAAGAACGTCCTTCAGCTATGCGGATTGGTCATAATAAACACAAAGAGAAGGTGATGGTGACTATTACCTTAGCAGCTTATCCATTCAAAAATATTCCTCCTTCCTACACTTTCCTTCGCCACATCTGTTAGTAGACAATTGAATACGATTTCTTCAAGTCCCGAGGTAGATGATTACTGTTCAAGATGGGAATGACCAAGGCAATTCATACTACTTGATTTAAAGACGAGTCTTTCGACCAAAGATTCCTTGTGACTGCTTTTTCCATAAAATGTGGTCTATAAATATCATTAGATAGGCAGCTTGTGTGTGGGGTGTTTGGTCACTGCTTCCCAGGTACACTTCGATGCACAAGCGCTACACAAACAATATATAGGCAAAGATATCACTCATTGACAGGAGGGTACAAATGCCAGTGTGAACGACTTTCTTAAGAAGAGATATATGCTAGCTAGCAGACTACATTTTGTATGATTCTGTATAGCACTGCGTAGATCTGAGTCGGTCGGTAATACATATCTGAAGCAGCATACTTGTGAACGACTAACGGCATGTTCCGTCCTCGTCACAATGACTTGTGCGGCAAACGTCGTGGCAACTCGGAAGTTGAAGGGTTCCGAAGGTTGTATCTGACGTGTCGGGTGTCGTGGGCGGTCCGGGTGTGGGGCTGGCGTTGGACGGTGTGCATGCAATAAGACACGCGCATAGCAAACGCCCTATTGGAGTATCGCAGCCAGTGTCCTTTGAAAAGAAGAGTTAGACGGAAGTTCAAACATGAATATGTGGTCTAAATTAGGAGTTCATACTTCGGTACCACTGGTTACGTCAACTACTTGGGTAGGGGCGGCAAGGGCCATGCTTGCGAACGCAAGCGTGAGGGAGAGGGAAACAAATCTCATTTTGATTGACAAGGTTCGAATTTAAACGGTTCTGGGCAACTCTTGGGTAGAAAACAAAAGACAGTAGATGTGGTATTTAAGGCATAGACAGTAGGATTTCCTCTTATATATATACATGCACGGAACTGGACAACTACGCACATACACGGACGGGAAGCTTGGGTATTCTGACGTGAGACCGTAACCCTAAAATGGGTGGCGAGTCTACTCGCCTACTAGCCTTATCACATCTAACCTTATGCAAGCATCGTTTTTTCCACTTGCTATATTACACAAAAATTGAATAAAATGCAAAAGGTCCAGTCGACGAGTTTATCGAGATGCAAGGAGCGGTGCTTTGATCCATTCTCGCCGATACTGTCTAGATAACTCGCAATTAAGCTAATTTGCAGTCATTCGCGAACATGGCAGGTTTAGGGACGTGCACTGTGGCTTGGACCTCCATTGGCTAAATATTTGGTATGGGGTCATTATCGGTATAATATTAAAACTTTATGCGCTGCTTGAAACAAGAAATGCGATTCGCAGTATCGTATCCATCTGGCCTGGACAGATTGCTGAACCAATCACTCATATGCGTTATTATGGTAACAGGGTTTATTCGAGTCCCGTCCCCCAAAAAACACCGATTGGCAGCATTCTAATTATATAACCGGTGGAAGTATCCGGGGTGAGATCTAAGTATGCTTTGCAAACTTACAACATTCATTGTTGCTATTAATAAGCACGCTTCATGTGTGGAAAACTGACGGTTTCGCGCTTACTTAAGATGCTCATAATTACGGCTCTTGCCCTCAACTTTACAGGCACGTCCACACCGTCCTAATGAGTATTCGGTAAGACGATACCATATCTATGTCTCGTCATCTCTCTCCTTGAAGTAAAAATCGAAGTCCCTTCGAATTATTCAAATGTTAAAGTCATTTTTTAGGGGAATGAGAAGACTCGACGCGAGTGGTGCTATAGCCATGTTGGGAACAGAATTAACGAGATGATAAGAGGGAGGAGTGATACGGAAGGAGCAAGACGGGAGTAGAGATTGGACCGGGTACATACGATTATGATATCATTTCAGCCGCGAAATCGGGTGAGAGACATAGTCAACGGGCTGACGAATATGACCACTCTCCTCCTTGTTCACGATCTCGATATTGAAAAATTCAAACACTATGATCAAGAAGTCTTACTAGGTTTTGCGAAGCTCACTCCTTCGTGGATCCTCATCCCCGCAAGAAAACTATCATCTCTACTGATCCTCATTTCCGCTTAAAGCCATGGAGTCATCCTAAATCTTTTGCGCAGCATCGTTGGCACTTACTGTTGGCGCGGCACCAAAGGGCGATCTATTAAGGGACGCTGCTCCAATTGAATTGCGAAAACGACAGATATGTAAACATGATCTCGGTGAACCGTTGTGTGTGCCTAAATAAAAAAATTCAGCTCATCAAATGTTACTCTCTGTACTATAGGCTGACTGAGGAATACTCGTGCGCTTGCCCATGTTCGGGAAAAGAATGTACGTATCCGATCGTGTGTTGAGTGAGGAATGCTTGGATGAATTCCATGAGGATATTACTATTCCAGTAGGGTCTACCTACATTGAGGGACTAATAGCCTGAAGATATACTAGCACATTGTTTGTTAGTTAGATATTCCCTCTTGGTGAGAGTAGTTACGTGACCCTGCGCGACCCGCGCCGATCGTTTCCTTCAACCGGGTGCTTCACTGCCCTAAAACTTTATCTCTCTTATTGCGCGTGATATACGGAACACGTTTCGAGCTAGTTGATTGCACCCTCCACTATGCGCTAGTGATAAAAGAGACTTTTGGAAAGTCTACTGGTGACTAAATTAGGTGCCTACAACTGTTTACCTCACATGAATCATTTTATGTATTTGCGCTTTATAGCCCTATTCCTCTCAGTTCGGACTCTGTCCATGACCATAATTCTTTAGTTAAATCTTCGTCTCGTGCATCCTTCCTCCCCTTGAATTCTTTGCCAACTGGGTAGTACATCCCACCGTTTGTAATTGTTTCACGTGGTACCGTGCATGCCCACAATTGATTCAGCGTCCCTGTTGGGATATCGACAGATGTTGCGTTTCCTACAAGCCGCAAAAACCACTTCATGATGGGATTTGACATTGGGCCGTCCATAATGCCTGTGCGAACAACCCCTGGGTGGACTGCGATTGTTGTGATCACAGGGTTGATTTTGGCCAGGCTTCGAGCGAAATACATCTCAGCAAGCTTCGATTGGCCATAGCGAGCCATCGTGTTGATCCTTTCAAGTGTAGTTTTGACCTCGGAGAGAACCAGGCCCTCTTTAGGCGCAAGGGTGTGCAACGCTGAACTCACAAAGACAACGCGCACGTCGTTGCCTGAAACTGCAGCTGTTTTCTCCAAACAGGGCAAAAGCAATCTTGTAAGGAGGACTGGGCCCATATAGTTGGTGACGAATTGGATCTCGTAGCCATCTTCCGTAAGACCCGGTGGGCACGCAAAGATACCGGCGTTGTTGACAAGGATGTCGAGCCGATCCCCCTCTGACAAAAACACTCGCACAGCTCTAGCTATGGAGGAAAAAGATGAAAGATCTATCTCAAGAAAGATGATGTTTGCCTCGGGTATCTCTTTCTTGACATCGGCGATGGCGGCCTGTGCTTTTTCTTGATTTCGAGCTCCGAGGTAGATTCTAGCTGGGTTGTGTTTTGCAAGCTGAGTTACAGTTTCTTTCCCTAGGCCATTGTTTCCTCCAGTAACGAGAACAACTTTCCCCGATAGGTCAGGTATCTGCTCATCAGGATTGAAAACCTTTTTCTGGTTGAAAAACATCTTTTGGCGGTGCGGAATGTATCAAAGCTAGTTGAGGGTGATTCGATGAAAGAAACTGATGCACAATAGCTGGAATACCTTCCAATCTTCGCGGGAGATGCTCCCGCAGTTATAGTTTCAGTCAATCTGACCAAAAGCACACTAGACAAGGGTCGCGTTGAAGATGGGGATGTATCACCTTCGTGACTAGTGTGTAAGCCATGTGTACCGTACATCATCGCGTCCATCTACGTACAAATACTGGCGGAGGTTCATAGAAACAATTGGTATTCATTCACACCATAACAGTCAAATATCGCGAATATCGGACAACCGAACTTCTCCAGGATCTGCGAAATTTGTCAGCCACCGGTATCTCGGTGTTCCATTTTGCACTAGGGTACCTGGTTAGCTTTTCACCGAAATAGAATAGCGCTCGTGCATCAGTTCCCTTCTTTGATGCCAGATATCATGAAAATCATGATAGGGCAAGAACAATGAACATTGTACCTTTTCAGTATCGATCAATGTGGGAAACAAAGTAGCCTACTTGAGTGTTTCAACACCTTCCTCCTGGTTTCTGTTCGTGAGTAATGGTTTCGAACAGCTGTAGTAAGACTCCCATCCTATATTCCACTAGATGCGTATGCAGTTTCAGTAACGGCTTCACAAAGTAATATAGGGCTAAATGCACCTCTCTTCAGCGCTGCTTCCCAACAGTAACTATAGGATTGCTTGCTTTAAGTCTCACCCTCTACATGTTGAATCATAATCCTATCTCCTTTCAATGCGATCTCATTACAAGCCGCTTGGTTATTAGTCACATCCAAAGCAGGCTCTTTGATCACTGTTGGAAACCCCTTGGAAAGTACCTACAACATCTGCACCGTTTGTAACGACTCGTTATAGAGTGCAATTCGTATGCCCCTTGAACATCTCTTTATCGATTGTGACCACGAAGCGGTATAGAGGAGTTAGATACGTGACATTAAGTACTCCAGTCACGGCAGGTCGTCTGGTGATTGGCGATGTATGATTTGATATATGGAGGATGTACTAGTCCTAAAAACGTAAGATACATATTGGACGGAACTGGGAATGCTAATTCGTTGGTACGATGAGTGGGGGGAAGGGATAAACGGAAGCAATCGAGGAGAATAAGGCACGGACAAGCGTAGAAGCCCATCGCATTGCATGCCAATGGTAATCGATATTCAGCCAGCATATTTAGTGGTGGATGCGCGGCCAGACATACTGTTGAACCAACTCAAACACAGACTGCTTTTGACATCCATATACTAAAGGTTTCGCTGATTGACGGGGCCCGCGCTCCTTGTGGTCGTACTACCCCGCCGAACCCTTACTAAGCTCTTCTTAACACTAAGTATAACATGAAAGCACACCAAAACCACCCATGTGGATTGAATCAATGAAACCATAGCAAACTCAGAATTTCGAACCTAGAAGTTCAATATGTTCGACAAGAAGTGATCAAAAGTAGAGCATTGCGAAGTCAGCTTGAAGACATAACCAGATCCTTAGTGCGGGGAGTTGGGCTCTAAAAGATTGCGCGTGAATATTATTAGAAGAATGACTCTACGTAAGTTCTCAGAGGCAGCTACTCTTGCACGTAATTATGGGAAGGATATACGCTGCCCTGAGCATCTTGGTTGATTGAATGGGAAAACACACAAGATGAGTAGCCAAAATAGGTTAAACGTGACCTCGTGAGAGCTGTACGATGCGAAGGAGTACACTAGATGCGCTTGATGGGCTGCATCGGCGTTTTCGGCGAGAGTGCGTACCGATGCATGACCCCGCCGGAGCAGAGTTAGGAACAGGAAAAGTCGAAAACCCCACAAGACATTCTGAAAGGCTTAAGACCACGGGCCAGGTCTTGTTCCGGTGATCACCGACGAATAGGTAGGCAACCAACCTGTGGGGCGATAAGTTTGAACCCTGAAGTTCCACAAAAGTATCCACAGACGAGAGCTCCAACGGCTGAAATGGGGTTGTTTCTGAGGGGAAAAGATAAGACCTCGGATGATAACCCGATAAGTGATAACAGCGTTTAAGAGCGGTCAGTTATGGTAAAAAAAGTCGCCTCAGGTTCTTTGCTTGATGTTGCGCAAATTCCCTTCGCTCAGTCAACGCCTTCGGAAAGCACAGTGATATCGTGGAGATACGATGGTGGAATCGGCGAAGCAGGACGTGGTCGCGACCACCACGTTACAAAAAGGCGATGAACATTCAATGACTGCCGACGAGAAGCGGCTGGCCGAGATGGGTAAAATTCACTCGAAAAATGAGCATGAAAACAGGTCGCTGAGAGACTGTAGGCCACGTCCAGGAATTAGAACGGCATTTCTCAAAACTATCGTTGATAGGACTTGCCTCCACGACGACCATATCATGGACAGGACTTGGTTTGGGCATTGTTACCGAAATTAATGCTGGAGGACCTGGTGCAATCATCTATGGATTCGTTTTAGTCACGATCTTACAATGCTTCCTTGGTGCTTCGCTCGCGGAGTTTGTCTCAAGCTACCCCACTGAGGGAGGAAGTAAGTTGCGCGGTGAATATTGTTGAGACTTTTGCTCAACGCAAGCATGAATTTAACTCATAATACATTCGTATATATTCTGACAAGATTTATAGTGTATCACTGGATCGCCGCAGTTGCGCCTCGAAATCAGGCTCTTTTTCTTAGTTTTCTCACCGGCTGGTTCACGGTCTGCGGCTGTAAGTCGTTCCCGCACATCATCTACTCTACATGCGTCTGATTGATTCTGTTCTAGGGATCTTCACCACAGCATCCACCAACTTGATCTATGCTCAAACATTAGGCGCTCTGATTGCCCTTTACCACCCGGGCATGACCGTAAAGACATGGGAAATATTCGTCATTTACCAAGGGTTGAACTTGTTGACCGCTTCAGTCGTACTTTTTGGTAACAAGGTCATTCCAAGCCTGAACAAATTCTCCTTGTTCTATCTACAAATCGGGTGGCTTGTTGTCCTTGTCACCGTTGTAGCATGTGCGCCAACATACCAGAGCTCCGAGTTTGTCTTCCGCACCTGGATAAACAACACGGGCTGGGAAAACAACGTGATTGCTTTTGCTGTCGGCTTGGTCAATCCTTTATACAGTCTTGGTGGACTTGATGGCGGTGAGTAACTATGCGCATGTTTATTTAGAGTCCGAATTGACAAAACGTAGTAACGCACATCACTGAAGAAATGCCGAATGTAAGTGCGCACATGGCAACCTTTCATTAGCTTGAGTGAGCGAGACTTAACATATCACTAGCCTTCGCGTAACGCGCCATTAGCCATCATGATAACGCTCATCATTGCATTTTGTACCGGCATTAGCTACTTGATTGCGTTGATGTTCAGCGTCCAAGACTACAGCGCACTCGCAACTACGAACACTGGCCTCCCATTAGCAGAGCTCTTCCGTCAAGCGACACAATCAGCGGGCGGCGCGTTCGGTCTCACATTCATACTCTTCATCGCACTGGGCCCATGTGTCATATCCTCTCAACTTTCCACTTCCAGAGTTCTATGGGCCTTTGCCCGAGATGGGGCCATTCCTTGGTCAGCGACATGGGCACGCGTTAGTTCACGCTTTGGCATACCATTCAATTCGCAGCTCTTGGTGGCAGCCGCAAATGCAGCGCTGGGGTGTCTTTACCTCGGCAGTTCGACCGCTTTCAACGCCATGCTGGGATCTGCAGTTACTGTCAACAATATCGCCTATTACATTCCCATATTGACAAATCTGCTGACCGGTAGGCGAAACATGTACAAGGGTGTCTTTCACATGGGAAGCTTAGGTTTTGTGGTTAACATTGTAACTCTTTGCTGGCTTACGTTTGCCATCATTTTCTTCAGTTTTCCTTATTCCATGCCTGTTCAGGTCGCGAGCATGAACTACACTTGTGTTGTAGTGGGCTCCCTGCCCATTTTGATAGTCACCTGGTGGTTTTGTATTCGACGGGCCTATAAGGAGAAGATGTCACGTACCAATAGATGGGAATGATTTCGAAGCAAGGATATCTGGAGAGGGTCGAACAGGGGAAATCTGCTATCGAATCTCAGAGTTGGTATCCGGGGCTTGAAATAGTGGAAGTATACTCTCGCATGCAACAGAAGAGAATTCCAAAGTTTCAAAGCTCTGATAAAATCTTTAGGGATATCTTTCAGCCCCATTGAGACTGATGGCATAACAATCAATTTATATTTTACTACTATTTCGGACAAATGGAAAGACTAAAAACGGTAATCATGAGTTCCACAATGGTTCCGAAACGAACATTTGGCAAAGACGAAGCTCCGATTATGAAAACTCATGACTAGCCATTATTTGCGGCGTGCTAGGATAGGAAGAAAAAGACGAATGCCAGTCCTGGAAATTGTCACAGTCGTGACTTGAATTGTTTGTACATGTTTGGCGTATAGTGTATCAGATATTTGTTCCTGGGGAAAAAAACGGCAGGCCATGACTCAACCTGCTGAAATGAAGTATCAGCAAGAGAGTTACATTTACATCGTAGCAAATGTCTATAGTAGAATATAACGTTGCCAAGGGGAGTCTTGAGATGTGCGCCCATGTGGCCTTATCTTGGCATGACGCAGCGCCTCGGTCGGACGCCCGAAAATAATTTGGTGGGGCAGAGTGTCCAAGGAAGACTTATTAGATGCTGCGCAACATAGTCTGCTTTGTAGCACCGCCACGTCAGTCGTACGCCGCTACTACATCAGCAGTGACCAGAGCCCCTCACTTCGCTGTCTTCAAAATAGGACGAAAACACAAGGCCCACCGCCAGCAGGCGCAGCAGGATAAGCCGTGGCGCAACGGGGAGAAAGGTCGCAAAGGCAAAGGCAAAGGCAGAGGCAAACACGGCAAGATGGGACAGGACGAGTCGAGAGTCGTTGACCCGGATGCGCCGTCGCAGACACTCAAGGCGCGCACTGTAGACGCTCTTGCGCAGTACATCCAGGCTGGCCATGCCCAGAAAATCGTCGTCATGGTAAGTGTAGACTAGACGCGACGCGATGCGACGCGACGCAGACTTGTCCAGAAGACGCTCACTCACCCATGGAGAAAAGACAGGAGCAGGCATTAGCACCTCAGCAGGCATACCAGACTTCCGATCGCCCGACACAGGACTCTACGCAAACCTCGCGCGCCTGAACCTGCCCTACCCCGAAGCCGTTTTCGACATTAGCTTCTTTCGCAACAACCCGGAGCCATTCTACGCCCTCGCACAAGAACTATACCCTGGCAAATTCAGACCGACCATAACACACTCATTCATACATCTGCTGCATCAGAAGGGGCTCCTGCTCAAGCTCTTCACCCAGAACATTGACTGTCTCGAGCGTGAGGCGGGAGTCCCGGGTGACAAAATCATAGAGGCACATGGCAGTTTTGCGACGTACGACATCGTCTTGCATACAAATTGAGAGTTACATACTAATGCGTCTTAGGCAACGCTGCATCGAGTGCAAAAAGCCATATCCCGACGAGCGCATGAAAGAAGCCATCCAGAACAAGTCGGTACCGCACTGCATCGACACCTCCTGCAATGGCCTCGTCAAACCAGACATTGTCTTCTTCGGTGAACAACTTCCTTCTGCCTTCTTTGACAACCGCGACCTCCCTGCAGAGGCCGACCTTTGCATAGTCATGGGCACATCGCTGTCCGTCCACCCTTTCGCATCGTTGCCACAGCTCTGTGAAAACAAAACACCACGGCTGCTCATAAACTCGGAACGAGTCGGCGACTTGGGTACGAGGGCAGATGACGTGCTGTTACTAGAAGACTGCGATAGCGGTGTGAGGAAACTGGCTGAAGCGTGCGGATGGCTAGAGGAGCTAGAAGCGCTTTGGGCTACAACGGCACTCACTGACGACCCGGTGGTGCCAACGGAACAAGTGAAAAAGAGCCGAGACGAGCTCTTGGATGACGAAATCGAGAAGCTTACCAGAGATGTTGACAACAATTTGAGCCTGAGCAAAGCTCAGCATGAGTGGCTCAAGAACCATGTGGATAATAAACTGGCAAGAAAAGAAGATGACCCAGCGGACCAAGAACGCGAAAAATCTGGTCTACAACCGCCAACCGATCCAGAATCAAAGATACTGGCGCCAGTGGCGAGTCCCGGGGGTACAAACTCAGATCCTGGGGGTGGGCTGGGACATGTTTTTCCACATATCAAGAAGCCCTCGCTCTGATGAATCGTACGAATTGATAGATGACGCTACATGTGGATTTTGTGTTAGAAATAAGAGTATACAACTATAGAATCATTGGTAATGGACGACATTCAGCCTGTAACTCGAGCAGCCGCCACACAGCTGATATGTTAGCTGCGAAGATAATTCAATTGTGACATCGGTGCATATATTGGTCGCGTTTAGTAGTTTGTTGTTTGCCGGTCATCTACATGGCATGGTCAGTTTTTTTTTCAACTCCAACGCTAGAGTAGCGTAGGGGAGACACGTAATCTCGAAACTTACAGTTTGCACCCATTGCCTTTCTCAACTTGAGCGTCACAGCTTCGGCATCCAAATCCTTCTTGTCACCCGTCTGGATTTCGACAGCATACGTCCTGATGACCTGCTTGACCTGTCCACTCTGGAAACTCATCTTGGCTTTGCGCATGACTTTTGTATGGGGACCTATTGCACCGAATGATATCAACGTTTCCATCTCACTAGTAAAAAGTCTCGAAGTTGAGGATTGGGTAGCAGGATTTGACGATCAAGATCGAGTTGGAGGAAAACGCAATGTTTCAATAGACACATACCTTGCCAAACCACAAAAGCGAACTTGACGCGCTCACTGTACTCGTCGTTTCCCAGTTTCATTCGCACATATGCATACGCAGCCTCATCGTCCCCGAGACTCTCTGTCATCTCAGCAATCTCGCCTGTGCCTGTGGCGGCCAGCTTCAGGTTGTCTGAAGTAGCGGAAGCATACTGCCGTAGCATATTAGCGTCTGGAACGAAAAAACACGTCTCGGAAGAAATGGAGCAGGGCTTGCTGAGGGTGTCTCGTGACAAGCTTCTCAGAGCATTGAAGGACTAGAGATGGGGTTTGATGGTACTCTGCATCAGCTGTTCCTCCCAAACAAGCAGTAACACAAACACAGCCGCTGATCGGGGCTATCAAGCTCGTCACGTACCTTGAGGATGAGCCACGTCGTGTCCGATTTGTCTGACCGCACATCTTCGTATGCCTGTGCGATATCAGGGTCGTTGAGAATATCAGCGGCAGGCGGCATGGTCACTAGGCTATATGCCAATCTGAGGGGTTTTTGACTATGCGATCGAGGAAGATCTGAGCAAAAGAAGCCGTGTGCGACAGGGATAGGAAAGGTCACGAAGGGGAAAAGGATGAGGAAGTTGGGGATCCAGGGTCGCGAAGCTAACTACGGCTAGTGCGGGGCTTTAGGCTGGGCTTAGTGGGGGGGCGATTTGGCCAATGAGACAGCGAGAGGTGGAGGTTCCTGGGTCCTTTTGAGCCGCTGGCGGTGTGGGGTGCACGATGCGCCTTTTGTCCAGCTCACCAACCATCCTGCACCTCAAGAGACGGCAAAGTTTGCATGCTGAATAGCCACTATCGAAGAGTTTGAGCCGTCATTGATCTACTGGTGATATATGAAAGCATGTCGGTGTTTAGGTGAGGTGACCAGCTCAGGTCATGGCACTACTTGTGCCCTAGCAGTGCGAAGCATGTGATCAACGCCGTTGCATTCCAAGCTCGCTTTGCGGTGGAAAGGGCCGGTTACCGCAGAAGGGAACACGATGGTTCTCATCGAAATTCTAGACTACAACTCGCAGGAACCTCTGCTGGCATCAGTCGTTCGGTCAGTCCATGCTTGGGTTTGACGTGGCTGACAACGTCACGCCGTTGCGCGTTAGTGCCTTTCCTCATCCATCCTGGGGTAGAGCTCTACTATCAGGAACAACAGGTTGGAACAACAGGTTGGAAGAATCATGTTGTTTTCAATACGTGTAAATGAAACGAAGAAACTAAGGGCGAATACACGGGGTGCATGACCGATGGAAACGAGGTTGAATGGGCTTCTCCGACGTGTGCCGTGCTCCTGAGTTGGAACTCATATTATAAGCAGCCGAGAATGAGGATGCATGCATGCTGAAGTTGACGTGCGTTGGTGTATGGCTTGCCGGATGTCATGCACAACTTTTACTATTCTTCGGGATTGTCACCTCGGCAACCCATGTATCTGGATACGCACCTTGACCTCTTTTGAGCTGACAAGAAGTAAACTGCTATGCTCGAAGAACGGCCCAGCTAGTTACCATGCGGTCAGGGTATCGAAAAACTTGTTGCACCCGAAACTACTCATCATACCTGCACTTATCACTTGATGTCATGCGTATAAATGGAGATTTTATCGACATTACGCAAATTCAAACAAGCTCATCGTAGAAGAGTCATTATTTAGCAGCTTTGGAGAGGCGAGCGAGTAGTTGTAGCGGCGGTCATCGAGTCACATTGTGAAAGGAATGGGAAATGCTCAAGGTTGATGGGGACTGGATCGACATTGAGAGCGCCGAGGCTGGTAAGGTATAACATGTCGCGAGTACTACTATCGGCCATATGGTTGGCTTGTTAGCGAGCATTGTTCTCACGACGGGCTGGCAGATCGAAGGACGCATCACGTGAGGCCGCGACAAGTCGTCTATGGCTTCGGCGCGCAACGCCGGCGGCACTGGCCGGGTTGCAGTAAGCAGAATAGTAGCAGGTCAACGTGCAGGATGAATAAGTCGAGATGGAAAAAATCAGCCAAGCAGAAGCGAGGAGGTAGGGAAAGGATATTGAAATCAATTGCCATTGGCATGTTTGGAGGTGGGAGGGGGCGGCAAGGTTCCAGGTACAAGGCTCGAAAGGAGCAGGTGCTATGGGCGCACGCGCAACCCCGCGGAGCTTTTGTTGATGCTCTGCATTGCTCATCGCATTGCGCCAACAAGACAATTAATCATTGCAGAGCTACCAAATGTCAGGGGGATGCCAGCTTGGTGTGATCAGAAATATGCGGGAATTGGCAGGGGCATGGTGTTGTGTCGACTACGGGCTGGTTGCGGTTGCTGTTATCATTGGTGTTGGTGTTGAGTCGGCGTGGGCAGCCTCCCTATTATTGGGCCCAGCCACCACCATACATCGATGGGAAACCGCGGAATTGCATCATTTCGTCGTAGTCGGTCAGCCCAGCGCCGTCTCAAATCTCCACGAGTAGCCCTGCTTTCTTTTTCCATCTTCTCCCCGAACCCAAATTCCCCACGTTGTACCAATTTGCATCTCTCTCCTTGTCACTCTCTGCTACCGCCGTGCAATCGCTGGCTGATCTGCATCCCCCACAACCAACGCCGGCTTCTCCGGTCAACAACACCCACACAAACTCGTGTTCCCCCAGACGACCAAACACATCCCGAGTGCAACCCGACAAGCCTCGCACTGCCAATTATCACCATGCCGGCCTTTCGCCAGCACTTGGACGCCGTCGCGGCGCAAATAGACAGCATAGCTCCTCATGACGCCATCCTCACGCCCCGGCAGCCTCTCGTAGACGCGCCTGCCATCGCTTTCGATGTGCCCAAGGCAGTACCGCTGGCCAAGCGGCAGAACGTGATATACACACAACAAGGCATAATACCTACCTACTACGATCTCTCTGGGCCAGAGCCTGGCACCGTTGTCGGTATTGTCCTTGGTAGTGTTGCTGGTTTTCTCCTCATATGTTGGTTGTTGCAATCGCTTGTCAATAGCTCGCGATCTGCCGGCACTACGACCGCAATGGCGGGAGAGGAGGAGATTGTAGTGCGCAGACCACGGCGCAACTCACATGGTGGTCGGTCATCACGCCGCCGCTCCGAAGTGCGCGAAGTTAGTAGGAGCCCGCGGACGTCCGGCGCCCGATCGCAGATCATTGTCGAAGAGAGACGGCAGCCGGTAAGGGCAAGGAGCATCATTGTGGAAGACAGACATCGAGTGCCTGGCGACAATGTAGTCGAGGTCATCGAAGAACACGAGGACTATCGTGAGAGAAGAGGAAGCCGAAGAAGTGGCCCTGGCTATCGGTGAGTAGCAAAAAGTCTAGTTCGAGCTACAAGTTGTATACTAATATGCCTAGATAAGCCGATCGTAGCTAGCACGCCTTGCTTTCTCTTCTGCCTAGATATAACTCCCTGCCGCCGATTGTACCATATGCAATCACCTCCTTCCGACGCACCACCAATACCCAGCAAATAAGTCTTTTCATTTCGCTTTTCTTACTCTTATATCCTTCGGTTAGTTGTTGCTGGGTTCTTTCTGGGCTTATACCATAATACGGCCATTCTCCTGGCTTTAGGCGTTTTGGCAGCAGGGTCGGGGTGTAGCGCATAACGAATTTGGAATGACGAGGTATACATGAGCCACGCGTTACGTATAGTCATGTACGTCTCTAGTTTGGATGCTTTGAAAAAAGACAGTCGAGTTCATTCCATGTTTGTAATTGTATAGTCAGCGATGCGCAAATAAACATTCCAACATCACACGTAAACACGATTCCAGACGTGCTAAAAACAGCAAAATAGTACATCAGGGCATCCATGCGAATCGAAATCAGGTACTACCAGAATACTCTTCTGCCACTTGGAAAATGAAACGCAATCTTGGGGATGACTTTATTTTTTTTTAAAGCTCTGCCAATGTGCATGTACAAAGGTCAGGAGAGGTCACACTTGCGAAATACCATTGCAGTGAGCGATCAGACGAACATGTCGCATGCTACGAACACTCTATCTTATGTGAGATGTGAGAAGGATCATCCTTACATCTTCTTTAGGATCTGTTGGTAGGGCGACTATTCAACTACTAGCTTCTCCATAAGGCGTACTTGACATGCGCCTACCCTCTTTCAGTTAGCTCTAGGCTTTCCCTTAGCCTGTGCCTTTGACACATCTTAATGGCCATGCCCCCCTCGATCATTACCCCGCCGTTATACTAGAACTACTGTTACCATGGATAAAGAATCCAAAATCTGTACGGGTGATCTAGACTTGTTTTTCTGCTACCAAAACAGCCACGTCGAAATGGACCACATGCTGGACGATGGCAGCTTCGCTGACCTGTCCGAAGCGTTGAGAGCGGTGCACGCTGCACCGTCCTATTTCAACGACCAATACATTACGGAACAAACATTTCGAGTTTCTTCAAACAACTCAACTGCCTCCTCGTCGCCCTTTACGCCCGGAACTTCTGTCTTGAGACCTAAGCTCGGCAGTCGTTTTTCGAGAGAAGTCATACGAACTTTGAAAGATTGGCTTGCAGTTCATCATCAACATCCATATCCAAACGAGAATGAGATGCTTGCTCTGCAAAATAGGACTGGGCTTAATAAAGCGCAACTGACCAACTGGTTTGCAAACGCGCGAAGAAGGGGGAAAGTGCAGAGCGTGCGTCCAGGATCACCTCAAGCCCGTGAAAAGCCCACATCGCCCATAGACATAATCCACAGGCCAGGTACTCCAGCGATAAGAAGTTCTCACGGTTACAAAGATCCGATGCAGCGTTGGGTAGAGTCGCCGCCTGAACATGAACCCGCCGCTGCAAGTGATATTGCTCGCGCTATGGCTTCTACCTCTCGTGAGTTCTTCCTCAATGCGAGCGCCCACTTTGCGGCTGCTGCTTGATGTGACTAGTGCTTATTCGAACCAGGGGAAGATGTCACAGGAGATATTGACCACGTCCAATCGTGGCAATCGCCGTATGCAAGATCGTCGGCAAGTAGTACCAGAACGTCGCAGTCGAGTGAGTTCTCAGGCCACTGCTCCTCGGGCTCCCAGACCTCACTCAAAATGCGCCGTGCGCCACGCAAGAAGCGAGGGAGCAGGCGACGTCGGCTGGAGAAAGAGATTGTCACAACGCCATTGCTCATGCCCTACCAGTGCACATTCTGTACAGAGGTGTTTAGGACCAAGTACGACTGGCAACGGCACGAGAAATCACTTCATCTACCGCTTGAAAGATGGATATGTGGACTTTACGGCCCTCGCTCTACCAAAGAGAGCATTGACGAACCGTGTTGTGTCTTTTGTGGAGCTGTCACACCAGACGATGCGCATGTTGAAGCTCATCACTACTCGGCGTGTCAAGAGCGCAACCTTCGCGAAAGGACATTCCACCGAAAAGACCACCTAGTTCAGCATTTACGATTAGTTCATGCCGTCGAGTTTTCAGAGTGGTCAATGGCTTCCTGGATGCTGCCTATACCTGACGTTCGGTCGAGATGCGGATTCTGCGGCATAACTATGAAGACTTGGCTAGAAAGAACCGATCATCTCGCAGATCACTTTAAGTCTGGCACAACTATGGCTAGCTGGCAAGGAGACTGGGGCTTTGACAGTTTTATCGAGCCTTTGCTAGAGACCGCGATGCCCCCAGGTAAAACAAAACATTCATTTTACCACGGCTTTTCGTCGGATGTCGACTAACGGTTGAACAGATCTTATTGAATGGGAAAGAGGCACATTGATACCCATGAAAGGAAGCGATCCATCGTGGGGAACGCCGCCCAATGCTTACGAGTTGCTCAAGGTTGAGACAGAGTTCTTCATTCAGCGATACTTTGATGAAAATGGGCACCTGCCGGATAACGATGCTATCCAACTCGAGGCTTGTCGCATCATCTTTGCTGCTGAGACCACCTCTGGTACGAACTCACAGGGAACTGAAAAACTACATAGAGTTTCTTGGCTGCGCGATCTTGTCATGTCATCTCCAGCATTGACAGAGCGCGCTAGGTTCCAACCTGTGCGCTCAGCTCGTGAGAGCAGGCATTTCCCGCTAAGAATCAATGCTAAAGGTCATCTATTCGAGCATTGCCCTATGGAGGCGCGGCTTATTAGTTTCGTCGTGGATCAAACAGTAGCGGGCCTTGTGCCTAATGATGCACATCTGCATAACGAGGCATGCCAGATTGTGAGACAGATGGAACAAGAGACGACTACACCCTCGGACGTATTTGCCAACTGGGTCGTAAAAGGCATTTACTCAGCAGCAAATTGGCTCGCGAATTTCAAGCAACGAGCAGCAATACTTGATGTATCTACCGGTGCGTTCTCAAGTTACCCAACTGATACTTGGTGCGCCCCTTTGTGGGCACAGCCACTTCATGCGAATGCTTTGGAATCGGTACTAGACTCAACGAATCCATCCCAGGAGGCTTGTAACTTCTTCAAGCCGTTGTCAGCATTCTCAGAAGGCCATCCCACTATACCTTCACCGACAGCTCAGTCCGACAGTTACGGCCGAGTTCGAACGCTACTCCCCGATGACGCCAACTTTTACCGCATCTTCGACAGCGATATGAGACGCTGGGCTGCGTCCACGCTTTCGCCCAAGAATCCGAATTGTCACATACCATCTGATGAAGAGATACAACACCAGGCGCGTTGGATCATGTACGATAGCGACGACCAATGGAACCAGACTCCTGCAGATTTCCCGGTCTGGTTGTCGCGATTCAAGAAAGAAGTTGGTATTACGACAGATGTCGAAGTCGTTGATCCCAAGGAGTTAGCAACGCCAGGGAAATGAACATGCCCCGAATTCTTCAAGGCGAATGCAGTAAGTAACCTCAATTGCGATGACTGGATAACGAAGATGAAATGAATGTTTTGTGGCCAATTTATGAGCGGAACCTTTGAAATGAGATTTAAACGGCGCCTAACGTGGAGTCGCTGCGCACTAGATATGCCAGAGAGGCGACTAGGGGTTGTGGTATGTTAGTCTGAGTGGGTACATGGGCTTGAGTCTTTAGCCCTCGCAATCCTGAACCAGCCCTGTTTTCGGGATTCCATATTGCATTCACCCCATCCCCCCTTTGAAGATCAGACTATTACCATCTTCCTGTCCTCGTCCTCTCCAAGAATAGCGTAGAAAGCAGATACCCTCAAATGCAGAGTAGTATTCAGACCAATGATTGTTCAGATCCGATTCGTATTAAATCCGCGCACAGACGCAATATCGGTGGTACAAAGGCTGCATCGAAGAGTGGACGGCTTGCCATGGTTGCGACCATCTTGTAATTACGTAGCGTCGCTTGGCAGTGACTAGTCCGCATTACCCCAGAGGCTCTTTCTCCACACTCCATCCCGCTTCATTCAATTCACCAGCCCAAGAGACCAAACTTTGCCCACAGTTGTCTGCAAAAGTAGTGGATTCTTCACTGATTGGAGAAGATTTCTCTGGCACATGCACCTCATCTCATATTTGACGGTCATATCCATTTCACTGCTTTCTAACAAGATTCACAGCGCAACGGCCCTCACTGGGCTTAGCCTGAGCTTTACCCAAAACAGGATGCCACCCGACAAGCGGGAACTTTTTGCTATGAGCGACGCAAGCATGTAGTAAAATGAATTCCAGGAGGTGGCTGTTTAGGCAAAAAGAACGGCTGTCGGCTCTACCGTCACGAGACCATAGCATTCATTGGTTGATCGGCGCCTCCCTTTCGTTGCACATCTCCACATACGGGAGAATAACGTCCGAAGCAGTTTGTATAAGAGTCTTTGCTCCCCGTGGGGGACTACATCTGTTTGGCGGTCCTAGAATTCCGACCAAATGTCGTTGACAAAACAGATGGAGGGTGTTGCGGTCCTGTCGCATGTGATCTTGGGACTAAGAACATCTATTTGTGGCATAGAGTTCTGTCACGCCATGGTATGTTCTGTATGCTGATGACATTCAACCCACACTCACGAGTCCCCCGCCATTCGACTCCGCAATTAGGCACGTGAAAGCTGAGCTGACCATCACAGTGATATCTGGAGACATGCCGTATGGGGCACTCCATCTCTGTACGATAGCTGTCATTCCACACTGCCGTACCTGTCTCCCGGTAGCCCCTCGGTCACCCGAACATTATCCGGCCTCAAAATTTGCTTCAGGGGCAATGTCCTGGATATCGGCACTGCTCACGATACTCGCCCCGCCATGCGCTCACTGGACTCCACCGCGGCCCTCTTTTTCTCGAAATCTTCAGGTACCTTGATCGAGGTTTTCCTGCATTGTAAAGCAATGTGGGACGCTAGCGCTGCAACCTCGGAGTCGGAGATGAAGTTTTCATCATACGTCGGCCAAGACCGGCGCACGTCAGGACAACCACGAAACTCGCACGCATTGGCATACTCACAACAAAGCTGATGGGCTTTCCAGAAAACCCATGTTTCGCTGATGCAGCAACAATTACCGCCATTGTCGGACGTACACTATCGTGTGCTGTGGAGCATACAGTACACTTTTCTAGGACTGCTGGCCATGGGTAGGGACACTAATCGAGACATAAGGCGAAGGAATCTGCAGCTACACCTGATGCAGTAGTCTAACTGCATGAGTCGCATAAAACGCATATCTTCCATCAATCGAACCACTTTTTGGTGCACTCCTGGGCTTCCGAATCCGACCACACAGCATTCAACAAAGCCTTGAGGCTCTGCGGCTACCATCCGTGCCGCCACGTCCGTGCACCCAGTTCGCCTGCACTACGTTATGTCATCGGAGCCACTTGTTCGCCCTGTCGACACCGCAGACGCGTCTATACCCTAGTACAAACTGCAAATTCAATCGCCTAATCTGTCCATTGGTCGGATGTCGGATGTACGACAGCCATTCATATGCGTACATACATGGTCATGAGGACTTGATGGTTCTTAAGACCTTCGCTGTTGCTACTGTCGGCAAAGCTACAGTAGATGTTCATTCACTGTCCATCTCTTCTGCCACTCCAAGAGTACCGCGGGGCCCATTGACCGTATCTTTCGGGCGCTAATTGCAAACGAAAAAAAAACATTGTTCAGGTGCAACAACGTCGGTGGGCCGATCAAAACGCTATCAACGTCCGTGCGTTCTGGCGTCCAACTGCTGTCCGATGTTGAGCGGTTCAGAAATTTCGCGGCCGCAGACCTCCGCCTTAGGCGCTCTTGTGAGAGGCTGCCCCATGTTCAGCTTCAACCTGACATTGCGATGTCATCATTCGCCCCGGGCTCCCCGGGCTCGTGCGAGCATGTCTCCTTTCCCCTCCATGCTTAGGGCTTCTGGAAAAAGTTGGTCTTGTGGACATGCGGATGAACCTGGCACTGGGGCTCCACTGCCAATAGACCCTCTGTACAAACCCCGTCTCCGCGTAGTTTCGCTATATATACGGTACAACGACCCCCTCGAAATCCACACTGGTCTCCCCTTCTCCAGCTTCTCTCCAGCTCAGCCTCCGTGAGAAGTACACCCCACGCTGCGGACTAGCTAATCACTAGTCTACCACACTTCCCTTATATATCTTTAATCAACCATCACCCGCAAGGATGGTCTTGTCGCGTTTCTTCAATAAAAAGACTGCGGCTGATGGAGTGCCGGGAAAGGGCACTCCTGAAAGCGGCACTCCTGCTGGCACACCAGCCAGGGGCAACTCCGATGCTCCACAGAATGCAGTCCTTGAGCCAAAGGGCCGAGTACCTGCTATTGCTGTCATCCTTGGTGCTGTTGCTAGTATCGGTGGCTTCATGTTCGGCTACGAGTCTGGACAAATTTCCGGTTTCCTTGAGATGGATGATTTCAAGAACCGCTTTGGCGAAGACGGCAAATTCTCTGCTGTGCGCCAAGGTGCTATTGTTGGCCTTCTGGCGTAAGTTTCTATCTCTGATGAAGTGAACACTGCTAACAATTAACCAGTGTCGGTACCCTCTTTGGATGCTTGGGCTCAGCTCCCCTTGCTGACACGTTCGGTCGTCGTCTTACCATCTCCGGTTCCGCCTTCTTCTACATTATCGGTGTGATCATTGAAATTACCAGCAAGAATGTCTGGGTACAGTTTGCAATGGGTCGATTTACCGCTGGTCTTGGTATCGGAGCTCTTTCGACCGTCGTGCCTATGTACCAATCCGAGTCCATTCCCAAGCGAATTCGTGGCGCTACCGTTTCCTCTTACCAACTCTTCATCACCCTTGGTATCTGGACCGCGTACATGGTCAACTACGGCACTGAGAAGAGCTACATCAACAGCGCCCAATGGCGTATTCCCAACGGTCTGTCCGCTCTCTGGGCTATCCTTCTTGGAACCACAATCTTGCTCCTGCCAGAGTCCCCTCGTTACGCATACCGCAAAGGCAACGTTGAGGATGCTCGCGCAAACATGGCCCGCTTGAATGGAGTCGACCCTCACAGCCCCTTTATCGATGCTGAGATCGCCGAGATTCAGGAGAAGCTCGAGGCCGAAGCCGCTGGTGGCGACCACCCATGGCACGAAATCTTTACCGGCCCTCGCATGCTGTACCGTACTCTACTCGGAATGGTTCTCCAGGCTGGTCAGCAACTTACCGGCGCCAACTACTTCTTTTACTACGGCACAACTATTTTCGCTGCGACCGGTCTCAGCAACTCGTATGTCACCTCCATCATTCTCGGAACTGTCAACGTTGTTGCCACCATCGCTGGTCTCTGGATTGTCGAGAATGTCGGCCGCCGCAAGGCTATGATGGCTGGTGCTGCCTGGATGGCCATTTGCCTCTTCATCTACTCCTTTATTGGCCACTACCAGCTTGACCACCAGAACCCTCTCAGCACCCCCCAAGCCGGAAACATTATGATTGTATTCACCTGCCTTTTCATCGCAGCTTTCGCTACCACTTGGGGACCTCTTGTCTGGGCTATTGTTGGTGAGCTCTACCCTGCTCGCTACCGTGCTACTTGCATGGGTCTTGCTACTGCATCCAACTGGCTCTTCAACTTCATCATTTCTTTCTGCTCCACTTTGATCACCGACCGTATCGACTACTTTTACGGTCTCGTCTTCGCCGTCTCCCTCGTCATCCTCTTCTTCGTCGTGTACTTCTTCATGATCGAGACCAAGGGCCGTTCTCTTGAGGAGATTGACACCATGTATGTCCTGCACGTCAACCCCATCACTAGCAGCAAGTGGGACGCATCAACACTCCAGAGAGACGGCCTTGTCGACACGGACCGCCTGCACATGGGTCCTGGTGGCCGTACTTTCAGCAAGGCAGAACAGAGTGGTACCCACGGCGGTATCCTGGAGCCTGCGGAGAGGAACGAGATCCAAGTATAAACAATTTGGAAATTGAGCAATAAGAGTTGCATTTTAATGGCGCTTAAGTGGTTTGCATATGCTTGATTTGCCCATAGTGGCTCCGGTGGGATTGGCATTGAAGAGAAAAAAATATGATACCTTTGTAATGATTTCGATGTGGGTTGAATGAACCAGGCTTTTTAGGAATTTTTAGCAGCATCAAATAGAATGACATGCTTGAATTGAACAATCATCCATCAACTTTGTATAATCATCAGCAATTATTTGCTATTGCAGAGGGAGACAAGACCCTAGAAGTGAAGGTCACTGTCAATGCAGATTGTTCCACTGATCACATGTGCGACATTCAAAGTTTTTATGTTTAATAAGAACTCAAAAAGTAATCTGTTACTCTTTGATAAAACCCAAGCGGCTGACACTAAACGTTTAGAACGCATTTTTTCATACTTTAGCTTCTCAAAAAAAAACCCTCCTCGACGCATGATTGAATTATTCCAAAACATATGTCTTCCATTCCTCATCCCAGCATCAACCCAACCTACCTTTCAAGACCTCGGATCCTTAGCCCCAATATCCCTACTTTCCCGCGCCCACCTCTCCCTTCCCTCTCCCGGCCTCACAACTTTATCCTGAGCAGACTCGGTCTCGGGTTCTGCAGCCCACTTCTTGAGCACATCCAACCCCACGCTATTCAACGCCTTGATATGTGTAGATTCCAGCTTGACACGGGGGACATCTCCGATTCCCTTTTCCGCAGCGCTTTTCCACATGGACGCTTCGAGGCAGAATCGTTGACCGGGGCCCACGCCGGCTTTGCGCAGGTCGGTTCCGGTGGAGGAGGAGAAGTCGAGGAAGGCGTTTGTGAGGACTGCGGCGATGGGGTTGCTGCTGTTGCACATTCCAGCGTGGAGGGAGGGGGGTAGGGAGGAGGAGGAGGGGGCGTTTCTTTCGGAGGAGTGCTTGTGCAGTGGTGCGTTGAGGACTGTGAGGTGTCAGGTTGAGATTGAAGTGGGTTACGCGATGTAGCCGTACCGTTTCTTTGCTTGACGTCAATGAAGCCTTGCTCGTTCTTTCCTGACATTTTAGCTGTCTAGTTATCATATATCAATTGTTTTGGGAAGCTGAAGTGGAGTTTTGTGGAGCTTTGGGTGAATTGTAATGCAATCAAGTCAGTGTAAGTTTGAGAAGAATTGGTGTGAGATGCTACAGCTGAACTTTAAACAGTACTTGGGATCATTCATTTCATCTCTATATTCTGCGCCTAACTACCTTTGCATAATGCAATTCGTAAGAATGATGCTCTCATGACTTTCCTTGGCTTGTATCTTGACGTCAGCGAACGGAAAACCGTTGAGAAGCTATTTTGAGGCTCAGGATTTATATGTGAGATATTTCACTCTCAAGATATCAGTCATCTCGAGTTACTGGTTTCCTAAAGCTCATATTGTATGTGACGTTGCAAACCTGGAGAAGAAGCAGTGGTATCAACGCCTGGAGGAGTGTCGCGCTAATCCCAATACGTACTAGTATGTATCTCCTCAACTTCGCCCTCTTCGACGAGCACTCCATATATCTTTACCGCCACACACCACACACGCAACAACCGGTACCGTGACAATAGAAGAGCCGCGCACGCAACACCACTTGACACACCGCCACCCGTCCATTCACATGGCCTCACACCAACTACGCAACACGCCTTGGCGTGTCCATCCCAAAGCGCCCTATCCCATACTAGTAGGTGTTAACAAGTCGGTGATTGGCAAGCACCGACATGCCGACCAGACTCGCACAGCACAGCCCATCACGCACACATGGCCGGTTCATATCACGATGCAATAATTGGGCCATGAGGCTGTAGAGCCACGTTGGACAGAGCCAACGAAGCGTGCACGCGTTCACATGTGCTGTTGCCGTCATTGGTACCACACCGTGTTTCGGAAGCGCCGATTCGGGCCAATGAGGCCGAAAAAGAGAGCCGCTGCTATCTGGAAAGTACAGTGTTGTTCGAGTCAGCGTCGCGTTCGCCCTGTCACTTTCACCGATGCATGCAAAGAGAGATTCCCAATTTGACTCGAAGGTTACGTCCATGCTGCCCGACTCAAACCCCCTATCCTCTCTTTAGGCAAAAGAGCTGCGTGTGAGCATGCACGTCTGTCAAAACGTTAAGTATTGCTCATAAATGCAGTGGCGAGTCAGCAGAGCGATTCCCAGCCAAGATGAGTGATGGTGGTGGTGATGGTGATGATGACAACGAAGCTAATTCATAGCTTCCTTTCTTGATTTTTTCTCCTCCCACAAGTGCTAGGAAGCCCAGCTAGCATAGCATGTAACCATGAGAATACGACACCGGTCTCTTTACCTAATGCCACGACCTAGTCTCATTTTATCCGCGGCTTACGAACCGAAAGTATGGGAGTATGCACAAGGTCAATGCCTGCTTTTGTCCTTGCTGCTCGAAAATGAAGCAAAAGAAACGGCACGGCACCAGACTCCGAGGGAAAAAGTATGCTTGTGTACTTTACACACTATGCTCAGCGTTGGCGAAAATGTAACGTGCAGAATCTTTGTCCCTGGAGGAAAAAGAAGCAAACATGTAAACGGCGGTCACGTAACGTTTTTTCTTATTTTTCCCCCTTCCAATTTCCACAACTTGATCTCCCTCCATTGTATGTGCAAAGTACCAAGCGAGCGATCTACAAGTGTATAAAGCAGCGACTACTGAACGATGATGTAAGTCAATACGTAGTAACGCAATTGTGGTTTGTGACGCAGATGTGGCAATGTCAGGCACTGCACCGGTAGAAAGCGAGGCTAACACATATTTTTCTTATGGCCGAACTGTGAGAATGGTCACGAGGGATTTTTGCGTCTTTAGCATCAATTGCCCGCCACTCTTGCCGATTATGGGGTTGACGTCGTTTGACATGACCGCTGCTGCAGGTTGATCTAGCAGGACCTTGGAATGTACCGAGATGCGGGGTGCGGAAGAGCAAAAGGGAAAATCGTAGACGAGCGGTGGGTTGCACGCATAGGTATTAGTATGAGATTTTTCCTTCTTTTCGCTCTCGGCATGCACAGTCGCTTGTGAAGAAGCACCGGATTAAGCTGCAGGTTGCTTGCATATGTATGTAGGCATGTATTGATGTCTGCTGCCCCGCTGTAGGTACTAGGCACATATTGTAGTGCGTCATCACAATGCACCTCTCCCCCCCCCCCATCTACGGAATACCCAAAAGAAAAAGCACCTGGCTTCATGCAATGCAATGCAATCCGCGTCTTTTCAGCTTTATAATACAATGTCCGCATGCATGGTGAATTTAAGAGCGTTAGTAGCCGAAAAGCCATTGCTAACCCTGCAGCCGTTGGCGAATCTCGGCAACGACATTCCGGATTCGAGGCTCCTTGACTTTTTGCTCGGCACGGGTGACGGCATCGCCTATTTGAAGAATATCGCGACCGGCTTCGCAAAAGTCGGGACCAAGACACAATAACGTACCAGTAGCCACAAGCGCACGGTAAACAGCTTCAGAGTCGGTGGCTGTGGTGAGGACCTTTGATAGATCGTCAAGGAGTGATAGGGCCCGGTCTGCATTGTTCTCGTAATTCAGAAGCACCGAATAGTTAATGTATAGCGTAGTGAGCGCAATGATCAAGTTGCGGTTGGTAGAGGTAAGGAACGGCGACACCAAAGGATGGATGTTGTCAAACTCCTTGCTCGCAAGAAGTCTACCCTTGTCAGTCTGGAGCAGGTTGCTCAGACACCGTATTGCCATCATAGTATTGTTCGGTGGAGAAGACCCGGTGAAGACATCTGATTCGATAAGGGCTGGTAGGAGGTTTTGCTCAGGTGACACAAGGAAAGCAGCTGGCTCCTCGAAGGCGAGGACTAGCCGCAGCAGATCGAGGGCGGGCAACCGCTTTTCTGCTGGCCATTGGGTCGCTGCTTTCAGGAGCAGCTCGACACCAGTAATGTCTATTCCCTTGCCGTTTCCCTTCTCAATCGCACTGACAGTGGCGCTTAGTTGCTCAATATCCGAGGGGTTCAGCGAAATGCCCTTTTGGCCATCATCAACCAGAGACTGGTTAAACTCTGTGAGCTTTTTGAAGATTATTTTATGGTTTCCGGCCGTAATGGGAAGGTAATCCTTTTGCGGAAGTATCTTGGGTGGCGATGGTGCGGGTTGTGGTTGCGCGGGGACCTGGTTAGCGTCTCCCGGGCGGTAGCGTGCATCTGAACCCCAGGGATCCGCGCCCTGCGCGCTACTTTGGCCTAGCGTTGCACCCTGTGTGTTTTGAATAATGAAGTTTGCGACTTGGTCCAAGTACGTAAGTGGTAGTTCGTTGTCTTCAATGAACTTGCGAGCAGCCTCGTAATGGTTCTGGTTGAGATTGTATGGCAGTTTCAGTGGGGGCTTGCCATCTTCAATGTCAACGTCAAAGACATAGTCGTACTCTTTGCCGGCATGAGATATCTTGCGTCCACCGCTTCCAGCCGAATCAACTACAGTGCCAACATTCACCCATTGGTTGGCGGTAGCTGACCATTGATATGCCGAAACATTTCCGTTCATCTCCTTGATCATTTGTACCTGACCTTCCTTTGTACCGGATCGCTGGGCAAGGAATTCAGGCCCTGGCAGCTGTTCCTTGTTGATGTTGCCTACAGTTTGTTGTGGAATTGCCGACCCTTTGACGTCGTCGATGAACTGCTGGATCTCGGTTTCGGCGGCATAACGAGATTGGTCGCGGGTGAAGACACGCGCGAGTTTATCACTCGCACCTGTGACGATGTCCCCGTTCTCTTTACACACGGCCACTGACCATACTGAGATGGCTGGGTGGGTAATGGTTTGTATACACTTGTTGTTTTCCCACACACGCACAGTCCGATCTTCACCGGCACTTACGATCCCACCGTTGGGGAGAACGGCAAGTGAGTAGATGAAGTTTTCATGGCCATGCAACTCCACGACCTGTTTTCCAGTAATGGTCCATAGGCGGATGACGGCGTCGTTGCCTGCGGAGGCGAATTGAGCTCCCGAAGGGTGATCCGAAGGCAGTCGACAGAGAGCGCGTACAACTTCTGGTGCCTGGATTGAGCGCACTGGAGATGTACCACCCGCGATATTGTAGACACGAATTTGATTGTCGGCGCACCCCGTGATGATGGTGTTCTCATCAAAGGCAAGGACAGCCCACACCGACGCAGTGTGACCCTGCAGCACGGTAGACTCACCCCACTTGCCAACCTCCCACAAACGGGCCTCCATATCCCAACTGCCACTCACGATATACCGGCCATCTTCACTAACGTCGAGAGCACAGACGTTATTGCCATGTCCTATCAGCAGAGCGTCGGCATCGGAATCGAGGGTCTTGGTGGGTGAGCGTACGTCGATGATTTGATCTTTGCCGCCTGAGACGACGAGACCGTCGGGAAAGGACGACGAGGGAGGGACAATGGCGAGCGAGTTGACAAACTCCTTGCCATGTGTCTTGATGGAGCTGTCCCAAACGGGTGGATTGGCTGATTGTTGTGTCCAAGCGCGTACGGTGAAGTCTCTCGAGGCGGAGAAGATGGAGGCGGGCGAGGCGAAGACTACACTGCGAACCTAGGGCGAGTGTTAGTGTGTCTGTGTGTGTAGGACGTGCACAGTCTAGGCTGGACTCACGTCGTCTTCATGGCCGCGTAGGGTGGCTGATAGCTTGAAATCGGCCATGATGGAGCTGGGGCGGGGTTGCTCAAAGGGTGGGGGGAGCTGGGCAACGGGGGCGAGGGTGGAAAGAAACAGGCGCTAGTCTGTCACGAAGCCTGTGCCTGCAACCAGGAAACACATGCGAATCCGAAGCACACGTACACACACACGCACGCAAAGATGACGGCACGGGGAGTTTCTGCGTGTCTGCAGTCAAGACCAACTGCTCGGCCATTGGCGTCGTCCCACTGGCGACGTCAGCTTTTGGCGAGGCGGCCGGCCCACTCACTCACCCTCCCCCCGGTCACCCGTCGCCTGTCGCCGCTTCCCTCTCCCGCCCTTCCCCCCAAACAGGCCTTGGCTTGGCAAACAACTCGCTCAACTCAACACGACACTGGACTCTGACCATCATCCACCAAATATCAATTCGTTACACCATCAGGACTTTAGTCCATCTGCAGCTGAGCCCTGCTCGCACTCGCGCTGTTTCTCCACGGCCTACCAATCGCGCACGCCTTTTTCTTCTCCTTCTCAGCTTGCCCTGATCGCCTAGCACCATCTAGACTGGCGATAGCGTTGCCACAACTGTATCCGATCAGATCATATCGCATCATATCGCTGTTCCATCGGCTTGGGCGTGGCTTGCGGCTTGCGGCACGTGGCCAATGCTTTGTCTGGACCTCTTCCGCTTGAAGTCTCGAGCAGCAATGCTTGGAGACGATACAAGCGTCTACCAAGCTTGTACTTACAGTACACATGTACCTACTCACATGCACTCAGTGTCCATGCTCACGATTGTTGCATCTCCGCTCCCAGCCTGCCATTGATCTGTTGCAACTGGCATTGACCAACAGCACCCCAAGACCCACTTGCAGACAGAAATGCATGTTGGATGGGGCAGCAGAGTCGACACGGGCATAATTTCTTCGTTTCCTGTTCGTGGCAGGATGCAGCAACGTTTGAACTTCCCTTGGAGATGCACAAGTTGCAGCTGCACCAGCTACGTCGCTGTGGCGCATCTCCAAAGAGGCACAGCGCAGTATGGTGGAATGAGTCCAGAAGCTCCCTCTCTCTGCCATCTCCCATCGACTCCGCCACCTCGGTTCTTTGGCTCCACGGCCTCCATCTCGGAGGACGGCAATTGTGTTTCGCCGACTGCAAGGAGTCAGTCAGTACCAGGCAGGCTTTGATGCGCAAAGCAAATGGTTGTGCATCGTCTTGCCCGTTTTCCAGGTCATTTGCCTCCTGTCATGGTGCTTTGCCGCTCGTTTGGCCAGCCTCCACGTCCCCTGGGCCTTGCATGCGCTCATGCCGCCCTCAGACGTCGCCCTCAGCATGGTACTGCAGCCACTAGACCATTAGGCTTTCGCGTGACATTCCTGACCCTGCTGTTCCAGATGCACTTGTAGCAAGGTCGCCCAGTCTGGTTCTAGCCAGGAAACGCTACGCCAAAGCCAAGCCGCCCGGTTCATCTGGCGAAGCGTTGCGTGTCAGCTCAAATTTTGGGCCGCTGATAGAACAGAGGGACACCCTGTGACTTGCCTAGAACCAGTCCATGGACCACCCCATGTCATCCCAATGGGCGCGTCCTCCGCGACTGACGCCAGCGTGCCATTGCTGCGAGTCGGTAGGGCAAAGCCTACAAGAGAGCCTTTGTCCCGCCCTGGCACCATCACCATCCTCCTTGCACTTTTGATCTGCAATTCTCCATAATTACCACAACAAGTTTTAGCCGGCCCGCCCCTACCAGCCTCATCCACCGCTCTTCACGGTCCGGCAAGTTAGGTCCCTTTGGTTCATCAGCCTTACCATACACTCGGGCCCGCACGGCGCTTCCGTGAGATCATCGCCGACCCCTACGTACCCCTACGCACTGTTGCGTAGCAAACTAGGATTAAACCCGTCATAATAGTACGGCCGTTGCTCTGCACTTATTTTCTTTGCTTTTAGGCCAGGGTCCTGGGTGTACAAACATCTGCTTCAAATAGCCTCCTTCCGCCAGTCCGAGTCGACAAACACATACCAAGCAATCACACACACTCTACTCACACAATGGACGCCCCAATGATCGAACTCAAGTCTGCATTGGCCTCGTAAGTTGCCCCTTGCCGTCTATTCAACCCCAGCTAAGTCTTTTCAGACTGTTTCAATGTGGCCAATACTCAGATCTGACCATCGTTTGTGGAACCAAAAGATACCAAGTACACCGCATACTTCTCGCAACTAGATCGACCTTTTTCGAGGGCGCATGTCGAGGCGGCTTCAGAGAGGCAGAGAGTGGAGTCATTGACCTGAGCGAAGATGACGCGGAGGCTGTAGAACACATGATCCACTGTAAGCATCTAAACAGGCATGGCAACCTCATGAGTTATGCTGACCCTGCGCAGACTTCTATCACATGGACTACCTAAGCAAAAAGCCACTTTCGCGCCGCTCTTCACAACGATCAAATCGACCAACATCCCTACGACAAAGGCAAGCACCACCACGGAAATTCACTCTTGACCCCAACGACGACCCGTTATTAGCCCTCGTAGCCGCTGCTGCACCAGTGACCCCTCCACCTAACGAGCCAATGTTCCAGAATGTTGATGCATCCGCTAAGCTTGCCGCCACCCCGATGGTCGACCAAACTTTTGAGGATGACGATCTTGAAAGCGTAGAATCCGAGCCAGAGTCGGAAATTCAGTCTGCACATCTCGTCGCACATGCCAAAGTGTACGCAATCGCTGAGAAGTACGTACCGCCTTCCCTCACACTTTTCTGCCATGCTTGCTTCTTTTCCCTTCCTCTATCCTGATCCCTGCCTTGCGGAGTGGCTTTCATCTGCATCTGCAGAGTTGGTTCCCGTGATGCTGTGCGTCGCACGGCGTTTTCAAACGCCGACCACCCCCGCCATGTGCGTCACCAACATGAACACAACGCCAATCAACGCTTTTGCTACCCTTTCCCCCACACCATGCACACCTCCTTTCTGTTTTTCCTTTTCTCTCGAAGTGTACAGGACAGGCCAATGATGGCTGTTTGCAAAAGTCAAAATGCCCTCTCGAAACCGAACGCGTCAGCGTTTTTCCTACCTCTCCAACCACTCAGCCGCCACCGATGACAAACACGGGCTAACAATTTCTTGCAGATATGGCATCGCTGGCCTGAAGGCACTTGCACGCAGCAAGTTTGTCGATCAGATCGACTTGCATCTCGCTAGTCCCGAGTTTCCAGAGGCGTGCCAAGAGGCATACGAATCTACCTTCCACTCAGACCGCGGCCTACGGGACGTTATCATTCAGGCCTTCCGTGCAAACCCCAGCCTCTCACTACGGCCTGACGTTGAGATGATGGTACGAGAAACGCCAGGGCTTGCATTTGAGCTCTTTCGAATGGCCAGTGGCCTTCCCGTTTCCTCGTGAGATACCTATGGAATGTCTGTCTCCATAAATCCGAAACCTACAAGTTACTCCATGACCTTGTTGGTCTGTGCCATTACCCGTACTGCAGAAACATGCATACAATTGGTGTCTCCTTCACCCCGTTGGTGTTCCTCTGCAGTAAGCAACGCGCGTCCATCTCTTTGTGGCCCATCCCTAGGCCAAGGACGATATCCTGCGACTGCACACCACAACGCGCTACAATGCTACTTGGCGTCCCAGGCCACCCTTTGTCATAACGGCATTCGGCAACCAACCTGAAGTGGGGGTGTTGCGCGTCTCACAGATTACGCCGACCTGTGCATGCACCCTCAGAACCATATCTGGTTCGATACAGCCAATTATGTCTGGAGATGATTGATCACCGGCCGGGCCTGACCGTGTATATTTCTTTTACTTACTCTTTTCTTTCTTTTGAGCGTTCCTGGTAATTCTAGCGATATCATTAAGCGAATTGAGCTCCTTTGGCTCACCAATCTCAACTTTACCTACCCTGAGTGCCCAGGCTTCTTATCTTGGCCCTTGAGTGCTTTTTCGCATCAGATTAATTGAAGAACCTCAGCTTGAATGGATAGTGAAGTAACCTTCCATGGTAGAAGAACGCATAACGTGTCGAGTTTTGCTAAGTGCAGATGATGCAAGCTTTGTGTAACTTTGGCTAGGACTACTACTGTACTCTTAGCAGTTGATGGCTAGTGTTGCAGCAATAGTCGAAGGACTCCAATGCTTTTCGGGGCGTATACTACTATCCTCCTGAATACCCTTCCCCGCCTAGCAGAACTGGATACGGTGTCAGATCCTAAGCTGAGTGCGGGGGTGTGGGACGCCTAACAGTAACGCTGTTTTTTCTGACGCAGGGACAATCTGCAAGCCTCTCTGCGGTTCGGCCCTTACATTCTTGTACCTCATACTCAGATCGCATACTCGATTGATCTACAGCTGGAAAACGCCACACATCAGCGGCGTAGACCTCGAAACCTCACTTTTATTTTTTCCGCATTCCTATCAGACTTGGCCATTTCCAACCCCCCTTCTCTCTCCACCTTCGCTTAGCACAATGGGGCGTAGCCTCTGTAACTGGGCTTTAGTACAGCTGAGCAGGGGACTCGAGGCATGCCAATTGAACTAACTCAAAGCATTCCCGTTTCCCCCGCAGAGTCAGGTCAGTGCTTTGAGTGCATCTATGGCCCATAATTGGGCCTACTCGGTTGCAGCTTAGAGATGGCTTAGCCTAGCACAAAAAGTACTGTAGTATGTTATACAAGGAACATCAGGCATCCTTTGGACTGGACGTCTTAGGTGCAAGACCGAGTAGTCTCGGTATATTACCCTGTTGATCTTTTTTTTTTGGTCTTTTAGGACTTCGCTCGTTTTAGGTATGTAACAATGGTTATGTACAACGATGTTTTCGTCGCATTGATCCAAACCATGACCAAATTTACTCTGAACAGCTATTGAAGAGAGCATGCAAAGAACACTTGAGATGGGAAGCGAGATGCATGGCAGTGGACTTGGTATGAGAAGGAGGCAGTGAGGGAGATAACGGGAGATGTGCATGGCGTGAAGCGGACGGAGGAACTGTAGAGAAAGATGATATCTTACTGTGAAGAAAATGCCATCAAATACATCATAATCACTTACCATATGCCTACCTGCCTACCTTTGAAACTCTTGGATATTCCAATCATCATCACGACGTTTCTCAGTCTTCTTGCTCTCGCCACTCAGGCCAATGCAATCCTTGCTGCTGCTGCTGCTGCTGCTGCTGCTACCGCTGAGCCCGATATCAATGCCGATGCTGCTGCTTTCGCCCATGCGTCTTTATTCGAGGAATGCAGTTCCCTAGGTTTGTATCTTTTTCTTCTTCATTTCCAAGTTCTCGTCAATCCTGCGCTTGCTAACCCTCAGCGAATACGTCATGCAAGTCCCCAAGAGCGCCGACCCTGCGCAATACCGCAAGTGCGCTGAACACCGTCTGCGAGACGACAACCGCATGTACCATGACACCTCTTTCGCCTTGGCTGACGAGTCGCGAGACCACTTGAGGCGCATCTGACATCTTGACACGTAAGGAGCAAACGCACCACTACGAATCTGCTTTCGGTTGCAGCAAGCGCTGTTGATGGAAAATCTTGCGGTAATTCCCAGTGACGGCAAGGGGTGCTGGATTGCTGCTGGTGACGGTGGTGATGCTTAGCTCCAGTGCGCTATCTACAACGACTGCAGTGCTAATTCAAAGTGCGGTAAGGGCTACGTCACAAGCCCAGTCGTTTAGCTGCGGATGGTAAGTGGTGGATGTAGTGAGGCGAAAACTAATTGACGCGATGAAGTCATTGGCTTCGGAAATACGGTGGCTGGTTGACTTTTCTCGATGGAGCGTACGACGGAAGGGTTGGAGAGGGTAGGGTCTGGAAACGATGAGTGTTGCTGAATAAGTCTATGATCGCTTTGGAGGATCAGCTTAGATTTCACCCTGGTGATAGTAATACCGTTATCTAGCGTCATGAGCTGTCTTTTTGTGCATGATGCATGATGTTGGCTTTGCTCCCTGCTTGTCCGGATGTGATGAATCGTTGTGCGAGCCCTACCAAGGATTGTTATTCTCAATGAAGGCTCGAGACTTCAAGACCAGGAAATCTCCAAAGTACTCAAGCCTTCCCTTTTGTGCACCGTGGTTCAATGTTATCGAGGCAGAAGTCCTTTCTTGCGTAATCGTGGAAAAATTGTGTTGTTAAACCGATTCGTCCATTCTGGATGCCATAAACAAGTAAGGGTTGTAGAAAATAACATTCAAAACTTCCAATAGATAGTGGGCCCCAAAGTTCCCCATTCTCCAAGTTTGGAGGCGTGTTCGGGTGCTTGAGGCCGTTTTTCTTTTCGCTCGTTGCTCATCGTGATAGCGATACCACGGACTGTGGAATGCAGCGGACATAAATACCGATCTATGTGTAAGAGACTCCATATATTGACCCTAATCCCAGTCCTATGAAACATCGGATTGATCTTTTTGGAAAATAAGACGCTCCGGGGTGTCCAACATTTCGCGTGGTAATCATCACTATTCAGAAAAATAGTGGCGGTCCAGGAAAACCGGTGGCGAGCTGCACTTCTTTGATATGAGATCGTATTCATGGTAATACGATATCGGTACAGCATTCTAAAAGGTGTTACGGGTGGATCGGCTTTGCACGGTTGTTGTTTCGTAGCGTATACGTTGTCGACGTTCGTCCTCACTCGCCCCGGTCCTCCAGGGAATTTGTACTTGTCGAATATCTCAAAAACGGACATTTGTTGTAGCCCGAAATTCTGAAAGTAGCTCTTCGCCTGGTAAGCTCTTCAAGTCCCCCGTGATTCAGACTGATCCAGCTATTTTTCTCTCCATCAAAGTTCCTTCGTCGTATGTTTCCAACTCATTGCAGTTGCGCTCGTATAGTCGTAAAATCAAATGGTAAAATCCGGTAAAACCGCTTTTAATAGATGAAGGGGATGGCGTTGTAAGGATCTCGAAGTTTCTTTTGCAACCTCTGGGGGAATGGTTTGGGGTCTTCGTTGTTATCAGACGGTGATGACATTGGGGACCCGACGGTGACCCACCGCACTAGTGTGGTTCGCGCTTACACCCTGCATAAGAAACTCTCCGCAACCCGAGCCTTCTTCCCGGTCGTTAATAAGTAATGCATAATTTATTTCCTCCTATAGTAGCTTGATGATGGCATCTGTAATGTTTCGTAGCTTTCGGTGACTCAGTTGTTAAGTAATTTGGTGATTACCGGCGCGCTTTCAGTGCTAAGACGCATCAGTCCTGCTGAACAAATGAGGTTCGCTTCAACTTTTGACACTGCGTTCTCTTCCTGCCAACATGGGGATACGACGCTTATGCTCATATGAACTTAGTGCTATTTACTATTTTTCCCTAGTGTCATTCAATATTGGAAGAAGAAGATGAAAATCGAAGCAGCTCGGCAAGATATATTCTCAGTCTCCCTGCTCAACATAGCCACACACCCACACAATTGAAGATCGCATTTGTATATTCAAAGCTACGGCATTTATCGATCTCCCCAACTTCTCGAGTATAAACGAGCGTGTGGTCCTTCTCGCAACACTATACCAATCACACCACTACTGGTCGCACTCGTACTGAGTACCGCAGTCCGTGCATACCCCGTTGTGAATCGCACAACAGATGGAACTGCGCATTACACAAATTAGCTCTCAACTTCATCCTTGCTTCCATTTTAAAAAGGGGAAGAGAAGCTGATCAGCAAAAGATTCAAGCTCAACATACCAGTTGATCTGACAATTGGCGAGACATCCCTGACTGCCGCAGAAGCCGCAGCCAGAGAGGCATGCAGAAACGCAGGTTGCGCGTTTCTCGAGGGTCATGGAGTCGGCCGTGGCGTCTCGGGTTAGAAGCGACTTCATGCCATTGGGCATGCTGGATATGTCGCGGGGAAGGAGGTCCGTGTTCGCGATAGCGTTTGGGGCAGCAATTGCGGACGGGGAGAATGCGAGAGCGAGGGTGAGGGCGATGGTGGTGAGGAACTGCATTTTGAAAGGTAATTTGTTTGAAAGTCTTCTTGTCTGATAAGGTGAGATTGTTTGAAGTGAATGGTTGAGGTGGAGTTCTGAGCTGTGTGAGGAGGCTTCTGGGTATTGCACGTCTTTTTATATTCGACTTTGAGTTATATCTTGGAGATATTCGAAGCATTAGGTGGTTGCCTGATGGTTCGCCTGATCTTACATACCTCTTGACGAAGTGCTCATTTACGTTGTGATGTTGGCTCATTGTGATATCTTGCAATCACAGCTCAATGCTATACAGGCGATCTGTTGGTTGTTTCAGACGATATTAAACATTGCACGCCTTGTTTTGCAGAGATTTCCAAAACGAGTATGCATTGGAATGATGACTTTGAGCGAAACAATCAAAACTGGCATCATGGAATTATTAGAGCATAGTCTTCATAGTGGTTGCATACCACCACAGCTTTCACTCAGTCGTTAATGGAATTAGTATGACACAACACGAAGTTGCAATGAAAACTAGCCAGATGCACTGAGAAAAGATATAACAACAAAGTGAGAATACATAACACGCTTGTAGGAATGTTAGGCAAAACACAGCCTTTCAACTGTAAACGAGTAGTCCAATCAACTGGGGATTGACGTCTAGATCTACATGTAAGGCAAACGACCGCCTGTCGACTGTAAATGAACAGTCCAATCAGTTAAGGCGTAGTATGTAGATCTATACGTAGTACCAACATTTGTAGCAGCCATCGATACATTTTGCCTGAATACCCATTGTTACACATGCATAACAAGCTTCCAATTCAGCAACGATATACCCCACTTCCAGCTCAGAGTGAAACAATAAGCACTAGGAAATTTCGGGGGCTACTTCCGCCATAAGCACACTTTCTGAGTTTCGTCGGTGTGCTAACTCTAGGTTGTAGACTGAGCTTACCTAAAATGCTACTAGGCCGTAGTTGTTTCGTGGTTCAGACGATGAGGGTAACTATTCACGAACCGTTGCTTCTTTTTCAGGACGAGTTTGATTTGTTTTATTGGCATGCAGCGACTATTTCACAAAATCCGAACACAATATCTTGTATAATAGTCGAGATTGCAGTCATTTATGTGGATAGAGATGGTTTTCGGATAGCTGGTACTTGAGCCATTGATCACTAACAAATCATTAATAGCTTAGGATATCACTTTGTGCAGTATAAATGCTATAAAGCACCAATATAAGAATTGTAATCAAAGCTATAGAGCTCTGATAAGCAACTACTCGCAAATACTAGACTGTATCCCTACAATCACTACAACAACTAGACTTCAAGGCGAGAGGGCTAGCACCCCTTAAACACGAACTTGCTCGACATGAGGAGTCTTCTCGGAACCAAGGTTGTCAAGGTGCTCGCTGTGGACACCCTTCTCGATGGCGTGCATGTCAACGTGGGGAACAGCATCGTCGCCGTCGAAGATGCGCGAGATTTCTTCAAGAGTGGGTCCCTGAAGTATATAGTCAGCAACGGCTTCGTGTGGCGAAAGATGCGGATACATACCTTGGTTTCTGGGTAGACAAAGTAGACGAAGACGAGCTCGACGGAGATCCACAGAGTGTAGAAAAGCGCCAGGTTCCAGTGCTTAGGGAGGTTGTCCCAAGCGACAGGGTTGGTCTGACCGCCAACGGCGAGGATAGCCTGGACGGTAATGTTCATGATCATAAGACCCTTGGCACGGAGTGCGTAGGGAAGAATCTCGAGAGCATAGGCGACAAGCAGACCAGACCAGGCAAAGGCATAGCATACACCAAAGAGCCAGACAAAAGGAATTTGTGCGTATCCGGCACCCTTGTTTGTCTCGCCGGAGTTCTCGTAGACGGCGCAGGTGATGGTCCAGCAAACGAAACACATCATCATACCAGTGGTTGCGCCCAGGAAGAGGGGACGACGTCCGACCTTGTCAATCAAGGTAGCAGCATATGTGGATACGATGAGAGACAGGATACGTTCACCACCAGTCAGCTATATCATGGGTTAGTAGAGAACTTTTTGGCAAGAATTGCAGCTAGACTTACAGCCATCTTTTGATCCTGGCTAGTAATTCCGGCACCGGTGTAGACCAAGTTGATGTAGTTGGAGAAGAGGGCGTTACCGGAGTATTGGGAAATGATACCAAGGGAGATGAGAATGGCCAACCTCCATCGGTTACCCTTGGTCTTCAGGAAGTCAACGTAGCTGGAGTTGGTTTTGGCATCGGCCTCCATTCGGATGGCTTCCCTCATCTCGGTGTATTCAAAGTTGACGGTTACGTTATCACGGTCACCCTCGGCATGGTAGTATGCAAGAGTGTCCAGCGCCTCCTCGTAGCGTTCCTTGGAGATCAACCAACGTGGGCCTTAGTCCCGTGTTAGCTTGATGTACAAATGAATATTCGTGTCCATGGTACTTACTTTCAGGGACCCACCAGATGAACATGAGCTGAAGAAACGATGGGAGACCCTGAAGAAGGGTAATGGAGCGCCAGGACCAATGGTTGTCGGCT